ACAGATTGCCATTCGTAGAAAGTAGTTCTCAGACTAAGGATGTTTTAGAGTTGGTGCATTCAGATTTGTGTGGACCAATAGAGACTCAAAGTTTGGCAGGGTCACGTTACATGCTAACTTTCTTAGATGACTACACACATAAGGTGTTTGTGTATTTCCTAAAAGGCAAGGACGAAGTGTTCGAACATTTTAAGATTTTCAAAAAGTTTGTTGAAAATCAATCGGGCAAGTCGATAAAGGTTTTACGCACAGATAATGGAGGAGAGTATGTCAGTGCCACATTTCAGAATTTCTTAAAAAACTATGGTATTCTCCATCAGCGCACTGTACCATACACTGCTCAACAAAACGGTAAAGCGGAACGTTTAAATCGAACCATTATTGAGAAGACTCGGTGTATGCTGATCGATTCCGAACTACCTAACAGTTTCTGGGCAGAAGCCGCCAATACCGCCGTACATTTGCTGAATAGGTCACCTACGAAGTGTTTAGATGGGAAAACACCAGAAGAGGCCTGGAGTATGATAAAACCAAAGCTAGAGGGGCTACGAATTTTTGGTTGTAAGGTGCATGCCCACATTCCTAAAGATATTCGCAAGAAGTTGGACAGTAAAACTATTCCCAGTATTTTGGTTGGTTATAGCGCAGAAAGCAAGGGCTACAGGTTGTACAACCCATCAAATGGAAAAGTTTTTATAGCCAGGGATGTAATTTTCTTTGAACAAGAGAAGGGCAACACCTTGATCAAAGAAGCTAGGCGTGGAGGAGAAAAGCATTTTTTCGTTTTTCCTGAAGAGTCCACAAAAGCTGAGGTAGTACCAGTTCCTGCTACTAATCCTGAAGTGAGACCTGACTTCCAGCCTGATCCAGAGGTAATTGAACCCGAATCTAACGACCTACATTTTGAGCAAGATTCAAGTTCAACAGATTTGAGTGTGTTTGAGGATGAAGAGTTCGTTCCAGATCAAGATATAGAGCCTTCGAATGAGACAGTCAGACGTAGTGAGAGAGTGCGCAGACCGCCTAAAAGGTTAGAAGACTATGATGTGAGTTATGCAAGCATAGTTAATTTCACTGATCCTGAAACAGTGGAAGAAGCCATGGGTAGGCCGGACAGAAACCAGTGGCGCGCAGCCATGCAGGAAGAATATTCTGCTCTAATGGATAACCAAACCTGGGAGCTGGTGGAATATTCGGTTGAGCAACAACCCTTAAAATCCAAATGGGTGTTTAAGGTAAAAAAGGATGCAACTGGGAAAATAGTGAAACATAAAGCCAGACTAGTCATCAAGGGCTGCAGTCAAAAAAAGGGGATTGACTATAAGGAGACTTACTCCCCAGTAGTCAGATATACCTCGATAAGATATTTACTTGCAATAGCAGCAGAATATGATCTTGACATTGATCAGCTCGATGCTGTTACGGCGTTTCTGCAAGGTGATCTTTCCGAAGAGATATATATGTTACAGCCTGAAGGCTTTGCAGAGCCAAATAAAGTTTGCAAACTTCGTAAGTCACTGTATGGACTGAAGCAAGCTAGTAGGATATGGAACCTCAAACTAGACGAATGCTTAAAACGTTGTGGTTTGACTCAATCAAAGACTGATCCGTGTATTTATTATAACGTTACTAGGTCAATGATGCTAATAGTGGCGATTTATGTCGACGACATGATGATTTTTTCAAATGATGTTACCGCAAAAACAAGACTTAAAAATCAGTTGATGTCAGAGTTTAAGGTCAAGGATATTGGTGAGGCCAGATTTGTGTTGGGTATGCAAATCACAAGAGACAGGAAGAATAAGAAGATATGGTTGGATCAACAATCATATGTGGAGAGTTTGCTAAAAAAGTTCAAGATGTGGGACTGTAATCCGGTAGACACCCCAGCCCTACTCGGAGAAAAGTTATCGATAAACATGTGTCCTAATTCAGAAGATGAAGCTGAGAAAATGTCTCGTGTGCCATACCAGGAAGCCGTGGGAAGCTTGTTGTTTGCTGCACAAGTGTCAAGACCGGATATATCTTTTGCAGTCAACAATGTAAGCAGATACACACGCAATCCAGGGCTAACACATTGGACTGCAACAAAACGCATCATGAGGTACTTGAGGGGTACAATTCAGTATAAATTGGAATTCGACGGACAACGGAGCAGCCAGGTGATCGGTTACGCAGATTCTGATTGGGCCAACAACGTGGATGATCGCAGGTCAATTACCGGTTATGCTTTCTTGAAAAATGGAACAGCTATTTCGTGGGGAACCAAACGGCAAAGCACAGTATCTCTTTCTACAACCGAAAGTGAGTACATGGCGATGAGCATGGCAACCCAAGAAGCTTTATGGTTACGGAACCTTAGTGCGGAGCTTGGTTTTTGTAAAGGACCTATAGTACTGTATGTGGACAACCAAGGAGCCCAGAACCTTGCTACTAATGGAGCCTACCATGCACGAACCAAACACATAGACGTAAGGCACCATTTTTTAAAGGAAAAAATTGAAGAAAAAATCTTGGAGTTGAAGTACATCCCAACGGACAAACAAGTCGCAGATTCTTTGACAAAAGCAGTTGACAAGAAAAAGAGTGGGTGGTGTGCTACAAGTCAGGGTTTGAAACATTTTAAATAGAGGGGCTGTTGAGAGTAGATTTAAAATAACTACGCCTATGGCATTCATGAAGTTAGGTAGTTGTTAGAAGTAACCTAAAATGTATTCCACATGAATCATCTTTTTTGTCAAAACGTGTTCTTAACTTTTTTGGTAATCGTTTTTGTAGTAAATGTATTAAGTTCACACAATCTTCTTCTTCTTCCTTCCACAACGTTCCTGCCTCAACCAACAGGAAGGAGCACCATTTTACCATTTTTGCTGTTGCTGATTATTAAAGAAATTCATTGTTGTTTGTGCTTTTACTTGCTTTGCTTGAAAATGCCACCGTATTGAAATGCACGTGCATTTTTTTTGCTGTTAAAACTATGACCTCGAGTTGAAATGTTGACAATTCGCTTTTGCTTCTAGCATAATTTTTCAGTAAGCTTGAACCGCTTGATCCACTTTCTCCAAAGCTATATCCTTAGACCATACAGTGCAGGTCTAAGGCTATATCACGCGTTGAATGTTGTTCTTGCAGGACTCTTATAGGAGCTGCATCAAAGATGTTTATTTCGTCGTTGTTCATTTTGCTGCTATCCTATAATTCATTTATTACTAAGTATGCACTAATTCTTTGACGCTGTATGAAAACATAAAGTGCTATGGCGTGCTTTAACACTGAAACTGAAATGTTTCGTACTGCACAAGGTTCATATGTGATTAAAGGGCTTGAATAAAATTTGGATTTCTTGTCTAAAAAAGTTTGGATATCTTGTCAAAAAATTTCCGAACTTTTTGGATATTTTGTCCAAAAAATTTGGATTTCTTGTCTAAAAAAAATCGATATTTGGATATCTTGTCGCGCCACCGACAAGATATCCAAATCGGAGTTTCCAAATTGGTTGGATACTTTGTCGCTTTATTTGGATTTGGATAATTTGTCGATAAAAATTGGATATCTTGACGAAAACAATCCAAATTATTTGGATAATTTGTCCCTAAAAAGTTGGAATTTGGATTTCTTGTCGGTCCCTAGCTAGGTATAATATGGGAGCGATTCGTCGTTGTTCATTTTGCTGCTATCCTATAACTCATTTATTACTATAATAGGTAGGCACTAATTCTTTGACGCTGTATGAAAACATACTAACTGCTATGGCGTGCTTTAACACTGAAACTGAAATGTTTCGTACTGCACAAGGTTCATACGTGATTAAAGGGCTTGAATAAAATTTGGATTTCTTGTCCAAAAAAGTTTGGATATCTTGTCAAAAAATTTCCGAACTTTTTGGATATTTTGTCCAAAAAATTTGGATTTCTTGTCTAAAACAAATTCGATATTTGGATACCTTGTCGCGCCACCGACAAGATATCCAAATCGGAGTTTCCAAATTGGTTGGATACTTTGTCGCTTTATTTGGATTTAGATAATTTGTCGATAAAAATTGGATATCTTGACGAAAACAATCCAAATTATTTGGATAATTTGTCCCTAAAAAGTTGGAATTTGGATTTCTTGTCGGTCCCTTTTCCATCGTACAATTGTCTGCAAAATTCTAGTGTTAAAACTCTCCCTTTTTGTTGTACTCAGTTGATGTAACTCTTGTGTGTTTCTTCAAAACATATAAAGTAGGTAAATTTGGAAATAAAAGTTTTTTACTACTTACCTATTTCGTTACAAACTTATATAGGAAGGTTGCTCGCATGTGTACCTGTACCTTATGTCATTGTAAATTTTAGGAGTTGTGGTCACAGCGCCAAAAATTGATGAAATTAGAAACTCTTTTATCATTATAATAAGATGGCTCTCCTCGTGCTTAAAATTGACGTGTCCGAGGGATTTTAGAAAATTGACCTTTAAATATTTGTTCTGTTTACACCACCTTATTCTTTGCTAATACTAAGAATAATAATAAACGTTCTATTTTTAATTTTAGGAATAAAATATTCGAAAACCAAATCTTTCCGGTAGGTATACATTCTTCGGGAGTGAATTGCTCGGAGAAAAATTTGGTGACTTCACCCAAGGAACTCCTACCTACCACTTAGGTACGGATAATCATATAAATTTGCTATGTGCGTTATGTTAGCAAATACTTAAATCTAATACCATATTTAAAATTCTTGGCGAATAATAATATGTTAAATTTAATTCAGTGCATAAAATAAGAGACTGCACTATTTAATGGTCACCTGTGTTTACGTCTATTTATGCATCACTTATTTAATATGCATTTTCATACTTTTTTTGTTGCATATCAATGATTTCTTTACCTACCGTTGCTAGGTAGGTATATAAGTATTAAAGTGAAAAACTGCATTTTGCTGTTTAGTTTTCCAACCATTGTTAAATGTGTTTCGTATCACAGATATCTACGTACGTGAGTAAAACTGTTTAGTATAGACATGAAGATGTGGAAGATTGTTTATGTCATGATGTTAATAACTGTCGCAAACACTGGTAGAAGCAATAAGGGAATTATTGTTCAAAATCTCTGGAATTACATTTTTAAACAAATTGGTGCGAGTTTAACTAATTGTGGGTACATAACAAATCAGAACCGCGAGGTACTACCAATTATAACAAATTGTACAAAGCAGGTTACAGCCCACACGTTAAATCAGCTCTTGAAGACGGACGATATTCGTATTGTCGATGGTGTTCGTTTTGTAAGGTACAAGGAAAGCAATTCAACTTTAGGGTAGGCACAGTTACAGCACAAATGAAACAGGCAGCTATAGTTAGTTATTGCAGTTTCAACAACACAGGCTTGGACCAAGAAGACGAAATAATGCAAATGTTGACCAAGTTCGGAGATGAGTACTTACTAAGGGTTTACTTAAAATCGTTCGTCAACAATGAAGAAGGTGAGAAGATAAGTAATAAGTACGTTTAACCATTTTAAGCGTGATTGTTTTTTAGGGAGACATCGGCGCAGGAGAAATCACATGATGTCTTTAATGATGTTTGGTATAATAGGAATGGGCATGATCCTAGTTCCTATGGGTTTTAAATTTTTGGCAGTTCTTGGTGGGAAAGCTTTGTTATTAGCTAAAATGGCATTGATTCTAAGTTCGATACAGGGATTGAAAAAAGTTGCCAAAAGCAATCTGAATTATGGTTTATATCATTCATCGCCTGCGCACCCTTGTAAGTAATTTTCTTTTACGTTAAAAGTTAACTGCAATTGTGTCATAGTTTGGGATAAAGTGACATTATTAATAGATGAAGTTTAAATGCATTGGTTAGCAACTAAGAAACTGAGGTACAAAAAATGACTTTGAAATCTCTATGAGAAACAAAGTCCATGTATTTATACTTACTTTGTTTGATTTTAGGGCACTACGAACGTCATGGGTACGGTACTCTTCCTGACGATGAAGGTAGTTATATTACACATCAGATGCAGAAGTAATTTGAAATTAATTTTGTTGGTAGTTTTGTAGTTTTTATAACTAAAACAATTGTGATGGATATAATTTATTAAACCAAATGCTGATATGCCTATTTATTTCTATTTTTCAGCACGAGTAACAGCCAGTAATGAGTAATGAGAGAAACAAAGAAGAAGTATTTTTAGTGTTAGCGAGCCGATTAACTTAGAAAATTTCAAATTATTGTCGAGGAGATTAACTCTTGGTTAAATTTAACAAAACAGTCAGATTGTCACTATAGGCCGTATCTTACAAGGGAGACGGCGATGGAAGATATTTATTCATTCCTTGAAAATACTAAAGAATCAGAATCAGATCGATTCAAGAAGGAACAATTAAATCCCCCCTACTGGAGAAGTTCAGGGAAGATAGCCTTATGGTTGACACTCTTAAAGAAACGACGGTCTGTCTAAAAAATACAGGAAATTCTCAGTGACAACTGGTACAGTACAATGATATCCCCAGATCGCGAAGGAGAGAGACTGAAAGTGGTGAAAGCAGCAGAAGAAATAATTTTAGAAGACATCTCAGGTGTACCTTTGAATATACAGGCGCGAATTTAAAGGGGGGGCGCGCGCCCCCTCCTAGACAGTGGTAGTTACGCAATTCTTAATCATTTAATAAACTGACTTAAAACTTATTATTATTATTAATTATTCCAGTGCACTTGTCCAATGTTGACCTTATTAAAGCCGCATTTGCTAGAAACAATATTACAACAGCTTCTACTGACTCTATTAAGCAATTGGAACAGTTTTACAATACAATTCCCAGAACAATACCCATCAATCTGTTTCAATTTAAGGAAGTGGATGAAATTGCAATACAACAACTGCTACTAAAAATTACAACTAAAGCAGTGATCTGATTGCATTATATGTTGTCCCTTGCTTATACCTCATATAACATTCCTTATTAACTTGTGTTTGAAGTCCAATACCTTCCCTGACCAATGGAAGATAGCGAACATCACTTAATTCGCTACCTAAAATTCAACAACCGGAAACATTTAATGATTTGCGTCCTATACCTAAGTGTTTTGCCGGTGTTATCGAAGGTCTTGGAAAAGGTTATGGTCGAGCAAATGAATGTCTTTATATCAGAGCGCAGAATATCTTAGCAGTGACACAGTCTGGGTTTAGACGTGGATACAGCTGTACCACATCACTTCTAAATATTACAAACAGCTTGTTGACCTTTACTGATCAAGGAAAGTTATCAGCTCTGATTTTACTGGACTATTCCAAGGCCTTCGATGCAATTAATCACAGAACGCTTATTGACATCCTACATCATATTGGATTTGGTGACGACGCTTGCGTCCTCTTGAAGAGTTATATCACGAACAGGAGGCAGCAAGTTGTTCTTAAGCAACGAACGTCACAGCGTGAAGTACTTGCAGCAGGTGTACCTCAAGGATCCGTATTGGGCCCGATATTATTCTCGATATATACGTGTAAATTCCATTACTCACTTAAACACGTGGCGTTTCACCAATACGCAGATGACACCCAATTGTTATATGTTATATCTATATCCCTTCCTTGCGTCTGATATAGAACATGCAATTAATAATATAAACGCTGATATAGCAAGGCTATCCGAATTATCCGATTTGCATGGATTAGCAATCAATCCTGCCAAATGTTCTGCTATGTTATTTGGACCACCCAAAGAAAAGGGCGCAAGAAAGGGATGGTTGACAATAAAAGTAAGATATGGTGTTACCCATCAACGACTGCGTAAAAAATTTAGGATTACATATTGACAGTGATATGCGGTTTAGTAAACATGTTTCGGAGTCATGTAAGAAAGCCTATGTTAATCTAAAAATGATTTTTTCCCATCGCCACTGTTTAAGTAGACATTTAAAAGTATTGCTACGTGAGGCACTTGTGCTGTCAAACTTTAATTACTGTGATGTGATTTATGGCCCCTGCTTGACTATTAGACACGAATATAGAATCCAAAACATGCAAAACTCTTGTCTTCGTTTGATCTTTGGAATCAAAAAGCATGAACGCATTACTTACAAACTACAAGAGCTCGGTTGGTTAAATATGGCTAATAGGAGATTACTACATTGAGCTTGCATATTTTACAAAATTGTTATAAATCAAATGCCACCGTATTTATACGATCTTCTAAAATTTAGTTCAAATCCGCGGTTCTATAAATTATTGACACCACCATTTCACAAAACACGCAGGTATGAAAGATGTTATGCTTATAATATTGCCAGAGTATACAACGACCTCTCAAATGAATTTAAAAAAAAAATGAATAGCGCTACATTTAAAAACCATTTTCAAGGTATTTTGTTACTTAGGCAGTATAATCAGCAGTAATATCATTGTCTTTCTTTCGTCCATTTTTTTCTCAATTTCCTTGTATTTTAGTTTTCTTCTTATCGTCATCAATAGCTTCTGCCTTTGTTGTTAATTTAATTTTTCATTCCACCTCCATGTAATGTATTATTACTAAGATATTAAGGGTTAAGTGGTAGAGCAGATGTATCACATGTTCATGCTGAACATCTGAACTTCGCCCTCTTAGGCTTCTGGCTACAATATAGTTTTTTTTTACCGTTTATATTGCTTTATGTTTATTTTAGAAGTCTAATAAATTGCACATTATTATTATTATTATTAAACTCGTGGTAGGGAAAAAAATTATTTTCAGCAAGATGGTGTACCTGCGTACAATGCCCTAATCGTATAAGGGTACCTATATTGGACAAATTTCGTGGAAAGTGGAAAAAAATCGATTTACGCCGACAAAAAGAAAGCTCGCGACTTTGCCCTTTAGCCTTTTTCTGGTTTGTTCTTTTCTTAGTTTATGAAGAATTAGTTATTTGTTCAATATATTATGTATTATGCTGAAAATGTTCTATTTTTAAACGTATACCTAATAAATGTTTTTTTAAAATATACCTATTCTTGAAAAATTGTATGCGCCCCTCCCTAGACCAAATTCTAAATCCGCCACTGTGAATATAATTTATATTCAAAGGGTGTACAATATCGCCGAACAATCGGCCATTGGCAAATTTTTGAATGATGTTGAAACAGTACTTCCACAAACTTTTCCCACTCCTTTGGCAACATGCATTTTTAAATTTTTCTTTTAAAGTGCGTACAGTAAAACCACTGTAACCTTAGAAAAAGTATGCTTTGCGCAGCTAATATAGAAGGCATGGGAAGGGATTGTACACTCCCAGTAAGAAGTAGTTCGTTTTTAGGCTCAGTGCGCTATTGATTATTGCTCAGTCTAATGTTAAGTTAAATGACTATTGTAGAATTGAGTAATGTGTTATTAACTAGTAATAAATAATCGATAACTTTCTTAATTATATTGACATTAATACCGTGAGTAATGTGCAAATACTACTTCTGTTCTGGTTGTGGTTTTCTGTTCCGAATGTACATTATAGCCGAACCTGGTAAGAAACGCCGATCAAGTGCGGACGAATCCGAACATGCATGCGCAAATTTTCTAAGGTTATGATGGTTTTACTGTAACTGTCTTAAAAACAAAATTTTAATACGTAAATTACAGGAAATTTAAATCTACAACATTGAGTAGAACTCTTTTCTGGGCGAAATTGACCGAAACGAAGATATAAGCCAAAATCTTAAGAAACTATCGGCTTTCGGCTTTTTTTAATATTCAAATATATTCAAACGATGTCGTATCATTATAATTCACATGCTTCATGGAGTAGAAATATTCGAAAGGGTTCTCGACGATCGCCCATTAAACGTAATATAGGAAACTATATTGACATGAGTAGCACAATTTTTACGTACGTTCACTGCTGAGGTGTGCGGTAGACAACATTTGGACAACTTCTGATTTCAAGCTCTCTGGTAAAAGGTTGATTACCACTTGCCGATACAGGAGTAGAGTTTCGAGAAATCGAACTCGCCCATGACTTGTCAAAGGTGATAGAGGAAACTTTATCGACACAAGTACTCATCAGGGTTGTGGGAAGCCTCAGGGACTGACCATCCCTGCCCACTTAATAGGGTTTGGACTCTGAGGGGTTGTAAAAGTAGCTTGATGGTAGGGCAAAGAAAATAATTTGTGGGTATTATTATACCAGCACTTGAAATCCAGTGGATATATAAGTGTTAGCTGCACTTCGTAGCTATGAAGATACTATAATAATACTACGCGATCAAAAATGAGTTGCTGTCGAGTCGCCTTTGAAATTTTTGTTTGCATGGAAAATCGTATTACCTTGAACTTCCAAAGGCGACTCGACGCAGCAACTCATTTTTGATCGCCCGTTACTACCTACCGGACCGTTTGTAATGTAACCCCCTCTTTTTGTCTCTATTCACTGGACTAGTCTGAAATATGACATACTTTCATTAATTATGAATTCAAAATGAGATCGCTCGGATCACGTACCTACCTTATTTGCCTCTTGCTCTCGCAGCTTCTGTTGAGTTAGAGTCAATGGAAAGCGAGGTGCCGAAAAGAGGACAGGCCAGATCCGGATCGTCATGAGGCGCGCGTTTTTAGTCTGGAATCATTTCATCTGGCAGTTGTAGAAGCAATAAATAGAAAGAAAAAGCAAGGCTGTAAAGGTAAACCGGGAGCAACGTCTAAGGAGAGGAGTTGAGAGTTCCTTCAGGTAGAGGAAAATGGGATAGAAACCGTTTGCACAAACATATTTGATTTGCATTTTTACTATGCGGGGATCTCGTAAACCGGAAGAGAAACAAAGCCTTTTAATAAGTAGGCAAAGTTGTGCAGAATTGTCTGCTAATTAATCTTTGTTTCAAAATTTCTTATAATTCTAAAATTGCGAAGTTCTAGCCAAAAAGCCGAAAAATGTGATTTTCGAGAATGAGCTGACGACCTGGCGTTCATTTATTTTCAAAGATATCAAAAAATTAAGTTCAACAAACCCTTAGTGATTTTTTCTCATCTTTCTACATCAACTTTCTTATTTCTTATGGATTGTTAAGTCGCTAGAGAGTAAAAAATTACAAAATGGGAGATACCAAATATTTAGTATTTCATTCAGAAATTAATTTTGAATTTTTGCATTGCAGTTTACAATGTATTTCTTATAGCAATAAATCCATGGTTTGCTTAAAATTATTTAACATTTTTCGTTTATTGCCTGGCATAGTGTCCGTCAAAACGGCCATGGAATTATGGCCATAAGAAATACATTGTAAACTTCAATGCAAAAGTTCAAGATTAATTTCCGAATGAAATACTATAAGTATTTGGTATCTCAGATTTTGTAATTTTTTTCTCTACCTCGTGTAAAAATCCAATATGGCGTCTATAAGGAATAAGAGAGTTGATGTGATTGACTTGAAACCCACAAGACATAAAAAATTATCAAAGTCCTCGTGTGAGATCGAAGGGACTTCAGCGCATTTTTGTGTGGCAGATCAGTATTCTATTAGCCACTTTTGACTCAACGATGAATAAAAGATCTTGTCGAAGGATATCACATTCCCTTTGACGGTACCCACTTCCGATGTCCCGTTCGCCCGCAATTCGCGTTTGAAGATTTAACTCCACCATCAGTAAGATCGTGTTGGGGGCTACCACATTCCCTTTGACGGTACCCACTTCCGACGTCCCGTTTACCCGCAATTCGCGTTTGAAGATTTTTATCCACCATCAGTTAGATCTTGTCGGAGGTTACCACATTTCCTTTTTCGGTGCATACTTATATGACACTCACATTTTGGTGGATCTCGCTAAAAACCTTCCACAAGATAGTATTTAATTTTTAGGGGGCTTCTATTGGCGACACGAGAAAGAGAGACAGCCATTCGAGATTTACAAAACGTTAAAACGCGTGACAGAATTCGCAACGGAAGGTAAAAGGTGTCCGAAGTTGATTACCTCTCGAAGACGCGCGCACGCGCCTTGCAAAAGGTCGTTAATTTCGCCCCTAGCCCAAAAAACAAAATTCCACCACGCAGGAGTTGTGCGCGTTTACAACATCTTTCCGACGACACCAATTTGAAAAGAATCGGATGAAAACTGTAGTAGAAGATAGGAAAAAACTGAAAAACCTTCACGTTAGTATACTACGCTCGAGGACGACGCCCAGATGTCGCCAACCCCACATCATGTAGCCCTGTCCCCAAGGTTTACAAATTACACGGCCTTGTAGATACACGTACACTGCCATCCAGCCAGCCAGCCATCCAAAGTGAGATTAAAAGCTACTTTTTACAAATAAATTTGCGAAAATGCGCTAAAAATTTGATTTCAGCACATTTTTCGGTTTTTTGTCCATAACTTCATTATTTATAAAAATAATTAATCAATATAAAATTCTGCATAACTTTGCCCATTTAAGCGACTATCTCTTACGGTTTACAACGTACCCATAGTCAAAATGAAAAAAAGCTCACTTTGTACAATAATGTATATTTTATTTCTGTAGAGAAAATTTTTTTAGCCAAATTTGCCCCCCTCAAAAACTGCCGCCCTAAGCTCCAGCCTACTCAGTCTGCTGGTAAATCCGCCACTGGGTATTACAAATACAATATTACACAGATTAATAATAATATATATGTTGGGTAGGTGGAAAAGGAAAAATTATACTAGAAGCAATTGTGCGATATACACTGCACCGCATTCTGTTGGGCTGTCCTCTGCATGAAAATGAAAGGAAAACGCACGGATTATCTGAAATATGAATGAAGTTCTTTGTGATAAGATTTAAAGTGCGAGCGAAAGACCACAAGCAGTTTTAGTTGAACAAGTACCTATCGCAAAAAATGAAAATAAAAAGAAAGACGCTGCTAGTACACCAATTACGTTGATACAGAGGTGTTTCCAAATAACCAGAAGAATAAAATTATCCTGTATGATCCGGGTTTATTATATGGTGAAAATAGATAAAAATATTGCAAATATTACAAAGTAAATATGTATGTAGAAATCTTCACTTAGGTGTCTACTTTATAAAGACATTTAAATTACTAGAAAGAAAGATAAACGTCTAAACATAATAAAATAAATTTTACAATTCATTGCGCTACATAGGCCTACGTATAACATTACATTACTGTTTTTAAGCTACATTTACATAATCTGTCACCGCTAAGGCTTAACTATGTTACAATAAATATTGACTTCAGAGCGGTCAGTGTACAAATTTCTCAAATTAATTAAAAGTAGCAGGACGTTACCTGCTTTAACAGCCATTTTACACTTACGACTATATAGATTTCATATACTTCATATCTTACATTAGACTTACAGTTTGTTTGGTGATGCACTTGCTTTTATAAGAAAATATGAATGAAACTGAGTTGCTGATGTGCCGTAGGTAGGTACGTCAAAGGATTGGAAGGAATTGGGGTAACGATTGTGTTAGTGATATCACCAAACATGTTGTACGTCACATAAAATCATTTTTAACGTCACAGAAGTATATCACATCGAATACAAAATAAACTGAAGCAAGCGTTCCCTTTTAAGTGCAACAGAGAGTTTTCTTGTATACTAGAGATCAAACATGCTAGGCTATATTTTTTTATCATGTATATCTTTAGAAAATACAACATTAAGGGTGGTGTATAGTATCAAATACGTATAAATTTTTGCATTTAAATCGTATTGGACATTACAGGGGAAGTCACATTAATGATATGTGCCGTTGCCATCAAATGATTGTTTAGCACGGTTTACAGTGTTTCTTTGTAATTGACTATAAAGTTAACAAACCTCCAGAAACCTTACGTACAAATGTGTATTTATAATTTTAAGCATAGCAAAATATGAAATCAGAAACTTTGTACTACAATTAATAATCAAAATGATTGTCAGATTTAACTACTATTTACAGTTCTGCGCTCTAAACGTTACCGTAATTTTCAGTTGAATAAAATTTTGTGGTGCTAATGTGAAATACATTGAATATTTTAATCATGGTATTGGTCAGTTTCCAGAAGTTTATTTACATTCTTACTATTTTTCAGGCCGATTAACTACTTGCTAGGACGGTGCTTGTAACAAATGATCTCGGTTCTGAATTTAACACTTCAAGTGCAACAGGTGTCTTTTGACGTAACATCTACAGTTCGGTATAAATCACCGTCCATTGACTGCGAGGAACTATTCTTACAATGATATGTAAAATTGATATGTTTGTTTCATATAATTAAGTGGTTTTTGTCTTACCTTACATACATATAAACAGTTACATCCTACAAGTATATAGTAATAGTATAATCAGGCACTAATCTAATTAGGCGTTAGACGGTGTGGCGAGGCTACCACTGACTTTTGGTTGTTTTTGGTCAATTAACGCTACCCAGAGTTAAAATTTAGAAGAAATTAGACGGAAGTGCAAAAAATGGAAGTGTAGTGGCACGTTAATTGATCAACACCAACGATAACATTGCTAAATTGAAACTAGACTTAGTATGAAGCGCATAATTATGAGCAACCAGCAGCACAAAGAAAGCCTTGTGCACTTAACTAAGCTGGTTGTATATTATAATTTATTGTACGTGTTACAATTGACAAGTGAGTGGTGTTGGACAGATACTTGCACTACCAGGTAACTAAAGACGATCAGAAAGAGAAATTAAAAGAAAACAGCTTACTGCGCGCATTCACTCCATCAAAATTATACCCCTAAGGATATCTATCTAAGAAAAAATTGCGTGTATTTCTTTAAGGTGCGTTTTTCACACTTGAAGCATATTATATATCCCTATCAATTAAAGCAAGTGTGAGACATACAATCTAGCGTCACTGACATGCAACTGAATCATTGTAAGCGTTGTTTTTAAAGTAGCACCTTTAATAAAATAAAAACTAATTCTACGTATTACATCGGGAACCAGGTTAATATTTGTCAACATCTTTCCCTATAATTTGCAGTTCTTATTCAAATGTTATACCTTATTCTCAGTAAAATTGTGGACTAGCTTACGTTATTTATAAAACTGTAGCCGTATTTATAAAAGGTAAACAGTTCTATAAAAATATTAGCGATATATAGTTATTTACATTTCAAATATATTTTTATTACTTTTAGTGTTAGGGTAAAAAAACTGATATTTTAAAGTGATATAACCCTGTAGGTTGGTAATAAATTTTATTCTTTTTTTTAAATTAAGATTTTATGGAATGTAGATAATATACTATATGGTGCAGTAAAGTCACACGATAGTGGCTAAGGCAGCAACATAATAACACGTTTGTGAATTTCAGAATATAGCTTTAGTAAATCATTTTCCCTTTATTGCTTTAGTCTTATATGTAATTGAATATATTACACACCATTTATAGATCCAAAAATTCTAATGGGGAAACGTTTTATTGTGGCAATTCAGCAGCGCTTTATGTGCATTCTTCTTCAATAATGCTAGAAAAAAGTGTTTTAGTTGAGCGTTAGAGGATTTCCAGTCTGTGTTTCTAATTAGATACCTACCTACTTATAGATACATGTTAACAAGTGGGTTTAGTTTATAAATACGGCCGAAATATTCTAATTTTAATAAGGTATAAACTTTGAAATTTGCCTATATTATTGTTCATACATCTAAAACACCTAATAAGTCTACTGATTATTTGGCTGATTTGTCTGTAACCCAACAAAGTTACCTTCTTGTAAATAATTCTTTATACATCATTTTATGCTTCCATATAACAATTAACATATAACAAATCAATAAATCTATCTAGGAATCTATACAAATACAATTACGATATAAAGCTTTATGCATGCGCGTTGCAAATGTTGCACAGCCTATAACTAGCATAAGAGTATTTATTAGGGGCGTGATTGTCGACACAATGCATTTTTGCAGTTTTTACACTGAATACCGTGACAGTCCTTTGCACACAAATGCTACGAGCATGCTATGTTCATTTCAACTAATTTACTCATCTATTATGTGAAATAGTATACAAGCTTCATTATTATTTTATGTTCGTAGGTAAAGGGAGAAAGGCAGGAGTATTATGTCCTAATTCTAATTCGGAACCGAAGAAACTTGCGATGCTGATAATGCAGGGACAAGCTGATAACGCAGCGTTGCTTCTATTTCCACAATTACCTTCGCGTCCATATTTTCGGTTCAGTCCGTTGCAAGTAGAACACTGTGTCCCCTATGAACAGGTATATTTCCCTGATACAGATTAAGAATACCTTCATTTTTGTAAATACTATAAATTGCAATACTTACTATACTATCAAAGCCGATATAAAAATATAAAAAACAAACGAAAACGCAGAAGTGATAAACCTAGGCGATCGTGACGAGACAGCTCCTACCACACTTGCTTCGCAAGGTAATTCTCCAGATCCTGAAAATAGGGATACAATCAATACATTATTGTCTATATAGTTAGCGATGACTAGGTAAATACACGGACCGTATTTAAATGGAACGTTTGTGTCATTTTCTTCCCGAGGTTATTAGTACTGTGTTAGGGTATTGATTTTACTTAAAATCGAGACAAAAAGTTTAAATTCCATTCTCTCAACGAATTTTTTTATTACATTGTTCACCGAAAATTCTTCTCCGTCTTGTCTCATTTCTGCAAATTATATTTGAGCAAGCGAGACAAAGGACCAAGGATTACGCTTGTGGTTACATTTCAACTACCTATTAACACAAATATTTTTCAAATTTCCGAGTGTTTTATCGTAAAGCTTCCGGCCTATACTGTGTAAGAGTAACATACATTTTAAACTACCTACTCTTACTTCATTACATTAGTCTCGAGTTTCTCTCAAACAATTGACAACACGTTAACCTGAATAAAAATTGGAGAAAATTGTAAATTGGTTGAATAGGCTGAAAGTCTACAGCGCAACAGCAAGCATTGCTTTTTAGATTTCAGCATTACATGATAAATTGTTTGCTTTCGTAGACAGACTCATGAAATTCAATATTATTGCTTTTATTTAAATTGCTAAGGCATTGTGTCCTTATGTTTAGAAATTATTTGTTAGGTTGTACTTTCGTGGAAAAGGGACATCTGTTTATGGGTATTGATCAAGAGGAGTGTTGGAAGAATTTAGTGAACTGTTTTGGCCTTGACGACCTGTTACGTTCGAAGTCGCTCCAAGATTTTCTTTGGTATTAGGGCCGGTTGAACTTATCTGATATTTAATTTCCATACAAATATTTACTTACAGAGAAATTTCTTGTGGTTCCAAGGGGCGGCATTTAATACAAGAAAGTGTGTTATTTTATAAAAATGTTTTCTTTTTTTAGGGGGCTCATATTAACGATATTCAAGTACTATGTTTGGCAAATAAACTTCTTCAAGGTCTCAAGTCTATATTTTGGGAGGTTTGTAATGTATTGTAAAGAATAGATGGTTAGATTTTCCTGTAGGAGCACTCACACAGGCCTGCTCTGTTACTTAAACGATTAATTAAATTTTTTAGTTTAGTCACCAATAAGTGCAAAGAAACCATTATTGTTAAAGAATCTGCAACTTCAACGTAAACGTATTGAAACAGGACGCCATTTTTATAATTTTTAGAAGTAATGATCAAGAAGTCATCAATTTTACTTCGTAAAAAATTGGATTTTCCGTAATCATTTAAATAAAATATATACGTTTTCTACCCCGAAGGGAGGAAAACGAGTATTTCAGGTCTTGCTGAAGGCTTGACCTCTCGGAGATTACACTCTTCTTCGTTCACGTTTAGTACCACTCGTGTTGCGTCGTTTAACTTCGTAAACGCCTGCCGAATACGGCCGGCTAGTAACCCTAGATATTTATTTAGTACCTATCCGAGGAAAACGAAGGTCGGCAAGAACTTACTCCAGGTCAAGCCTTCAGCAAGACCTGAAATACTCGCTTTCCTCCCTTCGGGGTAGAAAACGTATATATTTCAGGGTCTGTGCCTACGGCTTGACCTCTCGGAGAGGTGTTTGTACTCTGCCGGCCCGATAGCGTACTGTGAAAAGATAAACGGAGAGAAAATTACTAAATATTCATTTACTCCTTGTTAAAAATGTATAACAACCAACATAGATAAAGTATCTTAAAACAAAGATATAATCTCCAACTGAAACTGAAGGGTACTTATAAGCGTGTCTCATATGATAATGGTTCAAAACTATTTCTTATTAAGGTTGCCAAACCCGTTGACGAACCTTCTAGCTGACGACAGTAATACTTGAAAAAGTTTTCCGGACCCAACCAGTTGCCTTTTTTCAATATAGTATTCACATCGACACCCCTGTTGAAATCATAAGAAGCCACTGCTGATCTGAGGGATCCCGGACTAGCATCTAACCGAGCTTCAGAGAAAGTCGTTTTAATCCATCCAGCTATTATTGTGCGTGATGCGGCTCTGACTTTACCCCGAGTTGAAATAAATAATGACGATAATCCGGTCACGGCTTTTCTTCTGAACTCTGACAGCTTTAATAATTTCTTGATCCAAAAGACTATATTTATCTCTCTAGGATCGTTACTTATTAATTTCCAGCCAGACTGTTTGTGTCCTCTATGCTTATCCGTCTTTGAACCGAATTTAGGCCAGAAAACAATGTCATTTGAATTACATTCAAAAAATTTATCGGCAATCGACAGTAAGGTTAGATCGTGAATTCGTCTACCAGAGGCCAACAGTAACAGGATCGCAACATGTCTCGTTACCTGGAACAGACTTTCCTCCTTAGGAGGGTTATTAGTCAGCCACTCTAGTAATCTATCCACGTTCCAAATGTTCTTTGGTGGATCTTGTGATTGTCCTTCATAATTCCCCATTGCTTTTAAAGCTGACCTAACCAATGGGTGAGATCCCAATTTTTCTTCATCGAAGGGAAAAGCTAAGCTGCAAATAGCAGATTTTCTTAACAAGATTGATCGTACCGCCAGTTTTCTCTCCATGAAAAGGTAGCATAAATATGACGCCAATTGTTGTCCCGTAGGTCGATTCGATACAATGTTTTTTGCACTACACCAGGATAGCCACTGCTTCCACACAGACGAATACGTCTTCCAAGTGGAGTCCCTCCAAGCCGATGTAATGAGGTTTATTTCACGTTTATTCAAATCACCTGTTAGATCCTCCCAGCCCGTACCTTCCAGACCTCTAAATTTAGGTCTGATAAATTTTGAGGTGGTAGCCCTGTCGTTAGATTTATAAGAGTTTCTTTCAGGTTCCTCAGTGAAAGTGGTGCTGCGATGGCTCTGCTCTTTAGGTCGCTTCTCCAAAAGGTGTTTTTCCATCTGGGAGCCACTATCAGAAATATCCCTGATGAGTAATTGAGGTGGTTTAGTACTTCCGGTATCAGAGCCGGGGGAGGAAAGATCCAGCCTAGTTGCACCATCCACATCCTGCTGAAGGCGTTGAAAAAAAGGGCTTCCTCGTCGTTGGTTTCTATCGACACATATCTGGAGACTACTTTCGATCGCTTGGAAGCGAAAAAGTCCACTTCTGGAGTACCCCATCTTTCGAAGATCCACTCTGTCGCTGAAGCTTTCAGATGCCATTCCGCAGGATTCTGGTTCCTGGAGAGACTGTCCGCGATGCAGTTGTACATTCCGGGTAGGTAATATGGTACTAGTCGAATCTGATATCTGTGTGCCAACTCTAGAATTTTCCTCGTCATGGTCAGTAAGATTTTGGATCGAGTTCCCCCTTCTTTGCGGAGAAAAGCTACAACAGTTTTGTTGTCCGATTGGATCATCACTCCTTTGTTGCTGAGGGTGGAACAAAATTCCCGCAAGGCTAGAAGAATGACAAATAGTTCCTTGCGATTTATGTGCCATGGCAGTTGTTCGCTTGACCAAGCACCCGATCTCATTTCTCTGTTCAGGTGAAACCCCCAGCCTTGATCTGAGGCATCTGTCGTCAAAAATGATGATGGGTGATTTGGGAAGATTAACTGTGACATCTGTTTGTTTTCTTGCCACCAAACACACTCTGTCTTGGCATCTACTGGAATAGGAACTAGCTTCGACGGATCTTCCATGAATAGCTTGCGAGACGCTAATTGCATTCTGCGGGAGTTCAGACGTCCGAGAGGGATTACCAAAGCAGCAAAATTTAACTGCCCTAGAATCGAAGTTGCAATCTGCCAGTTCCATGAGTTTGATGTTATGATTTTGTTCAGAATGCCTTCTAACTTGACTATCTTTTCGCGAGGTAACGACATGGTTTCTTGTTCTAGGTCCCAAATTATGCCTAAGAATTTCAGACATTTGTTTGGATCTAAAACTGACTTTGCTAGGTTCACCTTCCATCCTAACCTTTGAAAAAGGCTTACCGCCAAACATGCCTGTTTCTGTAGTATAGTTGGATTCTGATGCGCCAACAAAAAATCGTCGAGGTACACTAACACACGCAGTCCGTAATGACGGAGTAGTTCCGCCATCCAGTTGCTTACCCTCGAGAAGGCTAAAGGTGCGCTTGACAGTCCGAAAGGAAGACATGTCATTTGCAGTATCTGCCCCTGGTAAGACACACATAGGAATCTTTGATGGCTCTCTTTTACTGGAATGTGGTAGTAAGCCTGAGATATATCTATCTTTGCTAGGTAATCTCCTTTTTGTAAGAATCGAGGAACTGATCTTTGGCTTATCAGGCGAAAAGTATTCGTCCGTACGAATGTATTTAGCCTTTGGAGGTTGAGGATTTGCCGAGCTGATCCGTCGGGTTTCGACGTTAAGAACATTGTCGATAAGAATCCGCTGCTTGACGAAGCAGGTATTAAAATTTTTTCCTTTTTCAGTTTTTCTATTTCGATTGACATTGTAGGCGAGGGCGTGGTTGCAAACCTTTGAATATTTGTTGTGTTGAACGGAATTGATAAGGGTGGATTTGCGAAAGGGATTTGATAGCCGCTGACGATCCCCTTCACGTGTGTTGGGGCACCCAGAGAATCCCACTGTTGCAGGAAATCTCCCAACTGCCCTCCCTTGAACTGAGAGTCATTGTCGTTTAGCCCTATTCCCCCAGTTACCTGAGGTGGGCATTTTTGGAAATTTTCCACTGGACTGCTTTGAAGAACTTCCCAACGTTCTTGGGGCACGAAAGGGCTTTGTTTGCTTTGCCTCTTTCCTTACAAAAGGTCTCAGGGGTACTTTCGATTGGTTAACGAAAGAAGACCGATCTCTTGGTTTTTCTGGGAGAGGAAAGATTCTTTGCGCACTCCCGTTTTGATTTAAAAACAGTGAAAGTTGTTTTTCCTCAAATAAATGTGTTTGCGAGGGTGGAATCTTTTCCAGCTCCCTTACTAGGTAAGATGGGCGAGGTTTGAATGTTCTCCTTCTTATTTCAATTGCTTCTGAACGTCTACCACATACATATTGAAGTAGATCGTCCGATATTT